GTAGTCGAGTAGGCCCAGGGGTGCAGCGTCGGCCTCCAGTGCACGGAGCCGTGGTCGGTGGGGAGCCCACGGCGTGGGGTGAGCCGTGGGGTGAGTGCCCGGCAGCGGGTGGGGGCAGGCGGCGGACCCGGGAAGGGCGCGGCCTCGCTGCCCTGCTGTCCTTCCCGCCAGGTCATAAACCGCTCCAGCACCGAGCTGCCCCTCACCGTGTCCTACGACAAGATCTCGCTGGGGAGGCTGCGCTTCTGGATCCACATGCAGGACGCCGTGTACTCCCTGCAGCAGTTCGGTGAGGCCACGGGCCGACCTTTACTTCCGGGTCTGGGAAGCCGTGCTCAGGCTCCAGCCTCGGTGCCTCCTGCTGGTGTCCTTGACCATGGCTCCCGGCAGAGCGTCGGGTTTCCGCTCTCAGTGCTGAGAGCTGTCCTCGTCTGTGGCCGTGAGCGTGAGGCGCGTGTCTGGCGTTGGATGTCGCTGACCTGGCTCGCCTCGTGCTGTTTCCTTTTCCGTTCAGGGTTTTCAGAGAAAGACGCTGATGAAGTGAAAGGCATTTTTGTCGACACCAACTTGTATTTCTTAGCTCTAACCTTCTTCGTCGCCGCATTTCACGTGAGTGGGCACCGGGCCGGGGGTTTGCGTGGTGCGGCCTGGCGACCTGAGACTTTGTGGCCGCCACGCTGGGGGTCCCTCTTCCGGCTCAGGACGGGGTGTCTGCACCTGGGGCGCTGATCACCTTAAGGACTTGGGGTTTGTCTGCTGGCCCTGGAGGTCGTTTTGAAAAGAAACCCAAACTCCACGAGATCAGTGAATGGCTTTGCAAAATAAGTATCTCATTGTATAATTCTAGCACGGTGCTTTCGATGTTGAAAACCCAGCCTTTGCGTAGAATCCCTTTTTGAGCATGGAGTCTTACAGCTGGTGGAGGAAAGCTGTCCCCCACGTGGCAGCCATGCTAGATCTGAGGTCAAGGTGGGCAGGCGTGGTCCCCCAGTGCCTGGAGATTGGCTGCCAGTCTGGCTAAACTTCCCAAAACCGTGCTGGGAAATAGTGGTTTTGTTAAAGGAGCAGGGTCTGAGAATGACCCGTGTGCACGGCCTGGGCACCAGGTCAGAGCCGGCAGCACCTGGCGAGGGAGCCGGGACGTGTGGCCCACGACGGCTGTCGGATGCCCCGAGGTCCCGGCGTGCTGGGTGGGGCACGAGGCCGTGGGTTTCCGAGGTGTGGCGTGTGGCATCCACCTGGCTGTGACCTTGCGATCCGGGTCCCGCGCACACCTGTGTTCTCGCTCGGCGGAGACGAGCCGTCAGAGCGACGCGAGCCGGACGTTGCCGTCCTCTTCTCTTTCCAGCTTCTGTTCGATTTCTTGGCATTTAAAAATGACATCAGTTTCTGGAAGAAGAAGAGGAGCATGATTGGAATGTCCACCAAAGCAGGTAGGTGCCCTCAAGTTTCGGCCGTTCCCAGAGCGCCGTGTCCTGTTGATGGATACGGATCTCTAGGCTTCACTTTGGAGCTTGGGGTCTGCGGTCGTCTCTGGTCCGTGCCAGTCAGGGAGCCGGCTCTTGCGCGGGCGGCGCCTGCGAGCCTGGCAGAGCCTGGCCTCTGCGAGCACAGAGGGGCTGTCTGTGGCGTGTGAACCCGAGGCCACGCGCCAGGCCCCCCCGGCAGCGACACCAACGCGGGATCTTGGCCTCCATCTGTTTGGCTGCTAATCAAGCGTCTCAAGAGGCAGTTCTTTTCCTTCCACAGAAATGACGTGCCCAGGGGTGGTCCGGGCACCTGGGCTGGCCCCCGGTGTCAGCCGGGTCTCACATCCTCCTGTCCTCTGGTGTTCTTCGGGGGGCACAGGGCCCCTGCTGGGTCCTCCGGCCCTTCCTGGGGAGCAGCCGTGAGCGGGGCTCGTGGGTCCCCGTCGGTGCACACGGGGCAGCCAGGTGTCCCCCTAGCAGGCACCCACGGGGGTTGGCCCCGCTGCTCCTGCCCCACAAGAGGCCGTTAGGAAGGTGCATGTTATCAGTCAGTTGTAGCATTTTGTAAAGTTCGGTCTTTATGGAGAAGGTATAGTTTTTAAAAGATGAGTTTCTCACGGAGTTGGGAGGGAAACCGGTAAGGGGAAGAGGTCAAGGAGGCGGGTTCTAATCCCCACCGGTGACCCCTCTGGTCAGCGTGCTCTCTGTGTGTTTGTGTACCTGCACGCACGTTTCTGTAGCAAAGGGGACCTTGCGTTCCGTGCTGTGGCCTCCGTGGTCGCTATAGAACATTTGCACGTCACACACACCTTGTCCGGTGCAGTGGATGGAGGGGGTGAAACCCTTGAAGCTTTGTGTACGCTGTGGGGGGGGGGGGGGGGGGGGCGTGATGGGACCTGTCAGGTGGGGTGTGGACAGGGCGCGGCCGGCCGCTCAGCGCAGCTCCCTTTCCTGCCCCCAGTGCTCTGGCGTGGATTCAGCACAGTGGTCATCTTCCTGTTCCTGCTGGACGAGCAGACGAGCCTGCTGGTGCTGGTCCCCGCAGGCATCGGGGCCGCCATCGAGGTGAGACGTGTGGCTGTGCTTGGCCGCACCCAGTCCCGAACCACGGGAGAGACGGGGCCCTGCCGAAGGCAGGGAGGGGCGTAGCAGCTGCCGCGGTTCCGGAACGCCAGAGCCCGGCTGCCGAGGGCCCTGTCGCTGGGGTTGGAGCTTCCGCCCATCACACCTGTCCACGCGACGTGTTTTACCACGTCAGGCAGGGAGCCACACGACTTGTGCCGCCCACCGCATGAGGCCATGTGGGACGTGGTGCCCTGTCACAGCCCGGGCCGAGCTGGGCTCGGAGAGTGGTTCCGTGGGGCGGGTGGCTTTGGGCCAGGACACGGGGGGGAGCAGAGGGGGAGGCGGGCTGGGACGTTCTCTGTCCTCTGGGGCTGCCCTGTCCCGGGCCTCAGCCCCGGCCACAGTTCCCCGCCCTACCCGTGTGCCGTGGGCACCGGCACGTGTGGCCGTTGGGCCAGAGAACGCACTTGGTCTGCCCGTGAGCCGTGCCGCGAGGACCCCCCCATAGCCACCCGTCACAGCGCGGAGACCCAGCTCACCGGGTTGTGGAGGCGGGTCCCCCGAAGACGGCAGGACTCAGGGCAGAGGCGAGGGGCCTTGCAGTGACCACCTGGGAGAAGGGGCCGGTGAATCAAGAGGCAGGCAGGATGGGCCGGGAAGGGGGCCCGGCCCAGAGGACGGCAGCCAGGCCGAGTGCCGGTTCCGTCGGTGCAGAGGGCGGCCGAGCTCGATGTTGGCGTGGAGCCCACGAGCACCAGTCAGGCTTGGTGGTGTGACCAGTCAAGGCTGGGGGCGCGAGCAGGCACACGCTGTGGTCCGTCACCTCCCGGGGGTGAGTCCCGGGGACTCCTGGGTCTCAGAGCCGTGAAAGTGTGTTTCTCGTTCTTTCTTTCAGCTGTGGAAGGTGAAAAAGGCCTTGAAGATGAGTGTTGTTTGGAGAGGCCTGAGACCGCAGTTCCAGGTGGGCATTTGCGCGGTAACAACTGTCCCCCCACCCCATC